GGAAGAGATGCTAGTTCTGATGCTAATTGTGATGCTAGCTCCTCGAGCCTGCAGGCCTGGCTTCTTGTCTGTACCGGGCCCGGATTCAGATGGATGTCTCCCGCTAACAATAAGACCAAGACGATCATACTTCTTCGGTCTAGTTTGCCTGACGGGGGTAAGTACTTTCGCGTCGGGTTTGCAGTTAATAATGCATGAATGCTTGCACTTCCAAAAGCGAGGTGTTTCCTTTCCCAGCTGTTGAGAAGGTAAAAGTCATTGTGGTTCATTGTATCCCCGCTTTCATTACTCTCCTTCTCTAAGTGATGTTGCCTCATTGATGAGTTGAGGTAGGAGTCCATAATCCATATTGTCAGGAGGATGAAATATGTAAAAAAATCGTGAGGAATAACCGCCAAAGCGGGAGCTCTCGAAAATGCGACCATATCAGCTATGCACGGTTATGGTGTAAATACAGCCTATCTACCAATTGGATCAAATATAAAAGTCAGCCAATTGGATCAAATATAACAGTCAGCCGAATTAGTGTTGATACTGCAAGGAGACGTATTGTGTGAAAAGAAATGTAAGATGCTGTTTAATTGCTTATATATTTATGATCCACGTCACATCTTCAGTTTTGGCGGAAGTTCTCCTGTTTGTCTAGAAGTCTTCTCAGCAGGGCTCTATAAATAGAGAATTACGGCAGATATGTAATATTTAATGCAGCCGAACCGTGTATTACAATGCCGTTATGTGATGACTTTCAAAGAGAAAAGCAAGCACACTCGGAATAAAGTATTATTGTATTTTTAAAAAACGTTTTCAGATTTCACATCACATAAACACCAAATCCCAGCATGCATTGCGGATAACCATCCAATCATCGAGCTGAGGATCTTGCCTACGTCTGTTTCCGGTTTGATTGATTGATTGAAAAGTTTATTAACAGCTTGTATATTGGGTACAGTACAGTACAGCTCAAAACATACAATTGTTAAGGGGATGCAGACCAGAGAAAGACTTTCGTCTTGTTTACATCAGGGTCCCCCATTTCCAATTCATCATGGAAATCATTTCGTTTAATGACCGATGTATTTTGTTATACACACATTCCTTCACATTTACATTTTAATGTGCATTAAAGTATTTCGTGAGGCCTTCTAACATGTTTTTAAATATAACTACGGTTGTAGTTGAATGGTTTGTAAATTAACATGAACCTAAGCTGTTGCTTGGCAACTCAATCGCACAACGTCACGTCCGTTAATTCCACATCCACACGCATGGATTAACATCGATGTAATACATTAATGTAGCCTTTGTTTCTGCTAAAAGAGGTGTCGACCAGCTGGGGCAACAAGAAAATCGCTGTAATCGAGTGTGACTATTAAAAAATAAATCATTACGTCGGGGTAGCATTTGCTTGGTATTTCCGGTTATTAACATGGGTTAACAATACCGTGTAGCTGTCACGTTTGAAGGGGACGAAACCGTGACATCTTCACGTCTCCCAGCATGGTAAATCGTCACATGTTCACGTCTTGCCGTGATACCGGGTTGGCCCTGTTGGCACAAGACTTCAATATCGTCATCAACTACAAGAAAGGAGCAGATAATGTTGTGGCCGATGTACTGTCACGTGGGTGAGATGTCACGATTTATGTCCAACCGTCTGAGTGTTGTTGGTAACTGTGGCCAAACACTTGTTTGGTTTTATGGGGGGAAGTGTTACGTGCCGTAGTGTTTGTGTGGTCGTGTGTGTGTTTTTCTCTCTCTCCCTCTGACTCCCCAGGTGCAGCCTGATTGTCCCCAGGTGCAGCCTCTCCCCAGGTGCTCCTAATTCCAAATCAGGGCCTCCATATAGGACCGGAGGAAGACTGCAGTGGGGTCTCCTTTTTTTCCTCCTCTGGCTGCATGTGTGCAGACCTGTGTCTTGCCGATTGATAGGAGGGGAGCTCCGTGATATATCGATGCTGTAGTATTCTGTGCAAGTTGGCTGGTGAGCCCGTGTTCCTGTCTTGTTCATTAAACGACTTGTTCGTTACTCAGAGATCGGTTTTCTCTCCTTTTTTGTCGTGCTTGGTCATCCTTGTGTGTTGTTACTTCCCTTTGTACCCCCTAGATTTAGAAGGGAACGTAACAAAGGCAAAGGCACAAATGTGCAAAAATGCTAACTAAATGCTCACTTATGTGGGTTTGGGACTCCTGCAGGACTCTGTATAAAGAGAGGTATGGTTTTTTGATTGCTGAGCCTTAGAGGTGTTGTGAGATACATTTCAGTAAAAGCCATGCTTTAAATTTCCCTCAGTTTCCAGCCATTATGCTAAGCTAGGCTAATCAGCTGCTGACAGTAGCTGTCTACTCAAGAAACAGACAATGAGAGTTGTGTCTAACTCATTTCAAGAAAGTGTGTGAGCATATTTCCTAAAATGTCAAACTATTGCTTTAAAAATAACACCTTCACAAATAAAAACTGAAGGGCTATACTCTATAAATCATGATGATAGCCTAATGCTGATACAAAGTAGAAAAATGCACTGTCAAGATAAGGATAGAATATAAAACACTAGGACAAGGAGTGTGGGTGGAGGTGCATGAGAGCAGGGTCGGCTCTAGAACAAATCGAATGGGGGGGGCAATCATTTACCAAGGGGGGGCACACACTGCCGTCAACAACCAACACACAAACACCAACGCAACTTCAATTTAAAAAAACATGCTGTAAAGTCTATTGTCTTTCACACACATTGCAGGGGTGTAGTGCTATTGTATAGCGCACCTATGACTTGTGCATACATGCACGGTTGTGGCACGACCACCAAAACAGAAACATATAAGGACAGAGGGTGTCGTTTTCTCATACTGATATTCTGCACAAACTGTGCTGTTGTATTTGTTGTAAAGTGTCTTTACTGTAGGTTATTTTTTATTATATGTACAGCACTTTGGCTCGACCAAAAATCGTTGAAAAATTTGCTATATAAATAAAACTTGATTTGATTTGATATGGACATAGGCCACCATATAAAAAGTGTGCAAATGTATTTAGTATCCTATCCATGTGAACATGTTTTAGGTGGGAGTGGACCTAACATCTAGGAGGGTCTGGGGGCATGCTCCCCCGGGAAGATTATTTTTAAAATATTGAAGTTAAATGCATCAATCTGGTGCACTTTGAGAGCAAAATGAAGAGATCTATGAATAGCCTACACCTCTCAGCATCCATATGAAACAGAACTGTACACAGATTTACTTTTTCTTTATGGATATTTTACTAATCATTCCCCTTTTAAACTGTGTTCTTGTGTTACTGTCCAATAGTATTTCATACCCGTTTTTCATGTATTCTCTCTTTAACAACTATAATGATCATATAAAGGTATTCCTCGAAAATACTTACATAAATGGTGACCAAACCGTTTGAGACCCACTGAGATAACTTAACCTACACTAAAGTGAACTATCTAAACACTGAGAGAGTCCTTACCTCACTGAGCTGACGTTATAAGATCCTCTCAGTCTGACAGGAGAGGACTCTCCTCCACCTTGGTGTAGAAACAGCCCTTTATATCCGTTAGCATAGCTAGCTAACCAGATGCTAACAACATTCCACGTTACCACTCGCGCACTCACAAAATGCGCTCGTGCCACACAGAGCCGAGCTTGAATGAAACACAGAGACCCATGTACTTGTACTGTACTGTATATCATATTATTTTCGATGGCTTTACTGTATAATCAGTATAACAGATGGACAGATCGCCACTGGGCTTTCATCTAAACACACAGCCACGTAATGATAATAAAAAAAAGGTCGGGGGTCATTGGTCAAGCAACACACCAATCAGAGAGCAGCAGCACACCTCAGGCTGTGTTTTATATTTGTATTCTTTATTTCTGATGTATTTCACACAAAAAACCTTTAGTAGAAACGTTTTCACTTATATGATTAAAAAAAAGAAAAAAACGGCAAAGTGGCAAGGCTTGCCAACCCTGCGTTGGGGGGGCACAGTGACTCATTTGGGGGGGGCATGGCCCGCGAATGACCCCCCATGAAGCCGACCCTGCATGAGAGGCATCAATGATTTTATTTAGTTTAAGAGGCATGTCATGTTTCTCGTTCAAGGTTATATAAACAGTATTTATTCCACCATCTGTTTATTAGCATAAAACGGTCAAACATGGAAACTTCAAATGCAAGTGTAACAGGGTCCAGGAACCATTTACCAAATATCAGTCTGGTTTTGTAATACATTCATTTGGGGAAAACAAACATAAAAAGTGTTAATTAAGATTTGTTATATTAGCACACATTCCACTATGGGAGTTTCCAAACTGCCAAAGCCGGCTGACCCGGCTTTCCTCAGACACTCCAGGTGTTCACACTATTTATCAAAATTTCCCTCTGCACAGTTTCTCTCACATATTCACTTGCACAGTAATTTACACCTCTTTCTAAAACAACTTTCTGTGTTTCAGTGTGAGAACTGCAATGACAGGGACCTCATGTTTATCCTGCGCCCAAGGTCACACATTTCCAGTCAGTGACCTTGATCTCTGCACACAGCTCATAGTAATCGTGCTTACAATACTCCACATGTAAGGATGCCACTTACATTGAGATGATAATCTCAGGTGAAATATGTATTCAAGCCTCATCAATCTTCTCTTTAACCATCTCATCCTACAGGAGTGATGAAGTCGCCACATGGAAATTCAGATATGAGACACTCGCTGCACAGCCTGCAGCAAAGCATATACATAAACCTTCAAAAGCCTCCTCCACAGTGGGGGGAGACTGATATTATCGAGTCAAGCCTGAATCCAGTCATTTTCCTTTGAGGGAGTTAAGGTGAAGTGTGTGTAAAATGTTTTAGAGAGGGAGAGGCAAGTAATTTGGAGATCTCGTTGAATTACAACAGAGGAGCGTTCACCCTTGAGGAATCTCAGGTCGTCCTTGTGGAAGGAAGGCTACCCATCACACACAATCCCCGGCCCCCCACTCCTCCCGCATCCATTTCTCCTCCTTCCTCCTATAAAAACCCCTTTCCATCCTCCCTCCCTCCCTCCCCCTGCGCTTGCAGATCACCGTATTGGTCGATGGGATGGAGCGACTGCGCTCCAGCGAGCGGTTAGCGCATTATCATGCGTTTGGCCGGTCCGTGTGTGGGATGCTGTGCAAGTCTGCTGCATAAAAGTGGACAGGTGGAGCGCCTTGTTGAGTGGGGAATTTTAAGAAAACGCCCAAACATTGTGAGATTACCTGATGTGTTATGAGCCATCACTACTGAGCTCTGCATCTGCAGACGTGCAAGGTTCTCCCCCCTCCCGCTGTAATATTTATGTCAAAACGGAGGCAAATTATTCTGGTCACGTTTTTGGCTGACAGCCGGCTGTCCTGAAGATCTCTAGAGTGAATCGGGGTCCAGTGTTGGAGATAGCGCAGCGCACCGACACCTGCAGTAGGATGTAAAGGGAATTCCCACTCAGCAAACTGGTAAGTTTAACACTCGACTAAACACTTCCTCTTATAACACTAATATTTAAATGTCAGGAAAAAATCGTCATGATTTTGATAATGTGTTTAAAAATACAATATATGATAAAATATGTGGAACAGTTGAAATAAAAGGGATCATAATGGATACAGTATTCTGCAAACAATCTCTTGCAAAATGAAACAAATGGTGGGCTGTCTCGTGGAGGGACAGGACAGTCCAAACCTGTTATGATTCCGGACTCGAGGCGACAATAACAAAACACCTCATTGCCAGACATGCACTTATGAGGGGCCTCAAACAGCCTCGGGACATGTCACCGGTTGATTTTAATCCTTTGGCTTTTCGGATTTAAGGTGATTTCCCGTGGGACAAAAAAAATCCTCTGACCATTTGTCTTTTTCGTGCTTGTGCAGCAAAAATCAGACAATGCATATCCCGGAGATAAATCACATCTCATGTATAAAAGTCTCCCATTTTCTTTAGGACCTAAATGGATTGTTGATGTGCTTTATACAATGCGCCACGCTTGCACGAAGGTGTCCCGTTTAAGAGCAATGGCTCATTTTAAAAATGTGTTTTGACATTTAAGCCTTTAATAAGATAACATCACACTGCACGTGATTAGTTGGTCTTAAACTGGCATATCTCTGAAGACCATAATTCAAAGGATTGTTAAAAGGGAATCTGTGCATTGTTTTACTCTAATATGAAGATGACCAAAGAACAGTCAAAAAGTGGGGATTCAAAATTCCTGTCTTGAAAATGTTAAATCTGAAATATGGTTATCACAGGTTATCAGTGGTCTCATAGCTGTCTTTGCACATTGAGAGCACATTGTTTCATCCTTTAAAATAAATGGTATTGGTTTTAAAATGTACAAATTCTGATGGTTTTTGTAATGCAGCACTGTCTGTGTTTTAATATGAAGCAGTACATCTTGTAGATGAGATGTAAAATGGGAACATGTGTGGTTGGAAGGTGGTAGAGTATGGCTTTCTCCCTGCTAAACACTAAAGTAACATATTCTCTAGTAAATGTAACAGCGATATTGAATTGAATGTCCAACTGCTGCATGGTTGCCTTATTGACAGTGCTTTCGACCATTAAGACAATTAAATGTCTTACTTCAACAGGGTTTTTCCCATTTTTTAACATTACTTTTCAGTTCCCACTCACTGTTCTCCCTTACTCCACACATTACATTGTCTCACATTATTGTTTTCCCACTTACACATACTTAAAACATCTCTAATTCATTGTATCGTCTTGCAACACCTATTGCCAATACAAATGGCAACATTATATTTACTTTTAACTAGGATTGAAATACTGATGCAGATCTAATTATGTAATTTGCGAACAACAGGCAGTTTATCAAGACTTTTTAAATTAAAGAAATACTATCATCGGCAGGAATTAGGCCTATCTTTGTTGGACACATTGAACATACATTAAATGTGGGGGATGCAACTAAAAGGGCATTATTGGTAACATGACCATATTTTATTCTCTTCTCAATCTCATCAAACAATCAGTCTTCTGAACTGACAGTAGTTAATTGGCTCATCTTCATGATAAATAGCCAACCTTTTTTGATAAGACTGAGCACAAACATGCCGTTTAAGGCCATCTTCTGTTTGATGTTTTCTGGATCGGTGTGTTTGTGCATGATTTTGTGTGTATGTGTGTTTCCTTCTCTTCCATTTAGAATCTCAAAGGGATAATTGTTTTAACGTTTTCCCATTTCCATTCACTCTCGTAGTTGCAGCCTGTGTGTTTGCTTTGCATGTGGGTCATTGTGTGTTTGCGTCTGTGCGTGTATTTATAGAGAAGCTTTGATGCTGCTGGTGGGGAAATATTCCACCACACGCGTCACTCTCCAGCAAGATGCCGCAGCTTAGTTGAGTAAGTATATTCATATATTTTCTCAACTAAGGGAAATCATATATCAGTCTTATTTTGTGTCAGCACGATGAGCAAAGGAGTACTTTACCTCTGATGTTATAAGTCTTATTTACCTTTCATATAACAGTGCTGAAAAGGAGATGGTCAAAGTTTTGCTGAGGTTATTATTGGATGACGTTGAGGGAAAAACAAAGATTTATGTAAGAGGTGCTCTATTCTCATAACGGGCTCTCACATAGTTTCTGTTTTTGTTGAGTTGCTCTGAATACAACTAAATGGCTTAGAGGTTAGATTAGAACTTGTAAACAATTATAATGATACGTTGATGTAAAGAACCAAACAGCTACACTGCTGATTCACACTTAATTTAAACTGAGAATTTATTATTTTTCACTAAAAGGCTTATATCACAATATATATTGAAAGGACCCCCCAATGTTCAAATATTCCTTAAAACTGAAAATTAGCTGAAACACATATGAGCTATTTAAGTCCAGGGGTTGATCAGTTCATACAAATTAATTAAAGTACCATTGGCTTCAACAGCAGCCACATACATTTTTAAAGCAGTTACTTTGAAAAACAAAAGAAACAAAAGAGTACGTCTGACTAAATTGTTCTGCTGACTCAACAGGGACCACATTAACTGAGAAAAGTTCATCTGCAGGAGAACAAATATTTGAAATCAATACAGTATTCCTGCGAGCCTTTCTGCATATTTGTATATTTTTAATTGTCGTCTGATGTCCTACTTTGCATTCTAGATGAGTGCATTAAAGTATACCAGAATTCACTTAATAGTTGATCCTCATTTTACTGACAATTCAATTTTTTTTTTAATTGTATCTTGATAAAAAACATGGCCGATGTTAAATGAGCGTGTGCAAAATGGTACTACGGTAACTACAAACAAAGCCTCCAGCAACAGGCTTTTATAGCAGCAGCATTAAAGGACAGATGGAATATTTTTCTGATTTAGAACAATATTCTGACTGGATTGGTTGAATCCTTTTTTAATTGTTCTAGTTGATTCAAGCCATAATAACAAGCTGTCAAACCTCCGGACTACAACAACAGATGTTGGTTCATGTGTTTTGACAACATAAGTAAAAACACAACACCACTTACTCTGCATTTATTATTCACCGCTGAGGTTAGTCATCCTTTCTTGTCATCATGTTCACCGTGAAGCTAAAAGCATGCTGCACTTTATACCCTTACCTAATTCCGTAAATAATAATGTTCCTCAAAGTGCGTGAGTGCAGGGAACCAAAGAGGTGAAGCAGATCTTAGCACCTTATAGGACAAAAGCAGAAGCAGGAGGATGGTGAAAAAGTGAGACGCACAAAGAGCAAATAGAGAGAAGAGATGGACCGATAAATCATTAGAGGAGCCGAGTGGAGTGACCAGAGAGAAAATAGACTACCAAGAGGAGGGAGACAGAGGCAACATGGACCATACAAAATATTTTATATATCACTGTGGCCACCTCAACAGAAATACAGCTGTTCACGCTTTTCATTTCTCATATAAAATTGGCTTATATGTTCATGCTGAATTACTTGGAAGTGGACAAACAGACATTAAGGTGTATCTGAAAATTACATTAAATTGACTCCATCAAGTATTTAGAATGCACCTCATGTTCTTTGGCCCTCCTGGTTTTCTTATTAAACTTCTTCATGAAGAAATAGAAACTGATTATGTTAGGCCTCTGCAGTGATGTTCTCTGCGCTTGGCCAATGATGTCTGCAGGAGATACATGACATGTATTGGGCTCTAATTGCCTTATGGAGTGGACAAGCTTAATCAATTTAAACCATCTTTATTTTTCTAGTATCCCATCAGTTCCACTTACATCTTTGCTCTTATTGCATTGCCTTTAAATTCATATTTCCCTGACCTATTCAACTGCTTTCCAACTCTCTAAAGCCTGTCTATGGACGCTGGACGCTGAGCAAGCTTCAGCTAGCTGTAAAGAATGATTGGTGGCACAGTTTGATTGAAATCAAGCCCAAAGTGAAGAAGAAGAATGCAAAATTCCTGATTTGTTGTTTCACTGCAATTTGTTAGCACACCATTAGCGCTATAGAGCAATGTTTTTATTGGTGAGCCCCGGTTTGGTCTTTAATCACCAACGGTTGCTTCTGTGCTTCTGTTGATATGCAAGTGTCTGTAATGTGCCAAGAAACATAGCAAATAACCTTTTGGGAAGGGAAGAAGAAAAGTGCTGGAAAGTAAACAATGATATAACAGCGCAGATGGAGAAAATAAATTGCCGAAGTTTTATGAGAAAGGAAATGCATTCAACATGTTTGTTAGACCTGCAGGATACAAACAATGCATTTCAGTAAATAGGTAAAAACGGTATTCCAGAGGGCACCTTTAATAATAAAATGTATTCCTCTTTCAATATGGTAAAAGAAAATAAATCAAGGTAACTGCACACTTTTTCTCCACTGCATATACCAAATGTATTGTCTCATTTGGTCAAATAAACTGTCACAGCAACCTAAAGTGAGAGCTTTGACAATACATTTGATGCATGTAAAATATATAAAATCAAATTGTTTGCAGACTATTTTAAAATTTAGATTTAGTATGTGGTTCTTAAAATTCCCTTTCTATGTAAGTCAAGATATAAACCTGAACTTTATAACGCTGAGTTTTTATTATGACGTAACTTTATTTCATGGGTTTATTGGTGGATTGCACCGTAACACATAATGAGATGGATTTGTGTTTTCCTGGCTAAACAGGAACAGCGTTGGACCTTTTTTCCCCAAATGAACACAGCTGGCTGCACCACTCTAGCCATTTGACGCCTGCATTCGGACAGTCCATTAACTCCTGATTACAATGGCTTTTGACATAGAGAGATTAAGAGAGAATTTGCTATTCATATCGAATCACTTCAGAACACATAAGGAATGTACTAATAATTACTGATATAATAGTAATATAATGAACGCTTTTATATCTGTCCTACGTATTCTCATTTTCTCTTACCTTCATTATGCCTAATCATTGCTATTCTGTTGGAAGGGCCATGAGAAAAGCTGTCCAAAGCACTGATTTACGTAACGTTCTC